CCCCCTCCCTCATAAAAAATGAACGGTCCCTTAAAGCTGTGGATTCGAACATCGACAATTTGTTTCGTCGTCAAGGTCGATCAAACGACTCCAAATGTATGCAAAACAGCCGCGTCTCTGAATCTTTGCGCAAATTGTAGGTACTTAAAAGAAGGGTTAATCAGTGGTTATTCAGTGTGATAGGCCATTTCACTGTGCTATTTAAAAGAAAATTCAACACATTTTTTACATTAACCAAGCGCACTGCATTCGTATCTTGATGAAGCGCGAGGAATGATGAAGCGCGCGAGAAGAACGCGAGTATCCCACTCGCGTCACGCGTGGGACTCGTGTAACTCCGCTCCAAGGAGATTGGAATATGCGATGATCATTTTTGATGGATCACAAACTGAATAATGGTCATTGGCTGAGGAAAGAGGACTTGTGAGGGGAAAAAGATTTCTGCGCTCGAACCAAAGTCATGCAAAGTGACCCACACATGCCGAAGCTTGATCCCGATTGCTATAACATAAAGCGACTATGATCTGACTGGCAGCGCTCGTTTTCCTTACTGTTATTATTGTACTGCTGTAATTTTTTCTGTATTGACAATTTTGTATCGTATTTGCGTTGTATTAATACAACGACGGTCTTTGCAGCTTAAAGTCTGCTGAGTCTCTCTATAATGTTTATCTGCGATCCCTTTGAGGCTAGAACGTCTTATCCTGCTGAATTTCGAGAGAATAACAGACTGCTAGCAGTGTAACCTGAAACAAGCTGGAAACTAATGACGAAATAAGCAGGGTCCAAAGTTTGAAAACAAGAAGAGATAGAAGAAGATAAGAGGAACTCGACTTTTTAACATTCGGAATTTTGTTGTTTAGTACTTCACCCTCCTTTCGAGTCCCGCAAACACAGCGGATGTGAATCGACAGTGTGGTGTGCCAAACAAATAGAAGATGGTGTTCTATATTAATTCTTTCTAACAAATAGATTCCATGTTGTCGTGCGTCTGTTCAGTATTAGTATAAACCTACTAGCGCTCTATCACGAATGCCGTTCGCTTATTGGCTACGCTACTCACTATCTATTCTGTTTTAGTATATATCTATTAGCGTTCTATCACGAATACTGCTCTCTGATTGGCTACGCTACTCACTATCTATTAAACAATTAGATTATGAGCTCGAGATTTCAATCGCGTGATTTTTTTTTATGCTTTATTTCAAAATACAAACATTATTTACAACATGGTGTGTCTGTCAAGTACACTTACAAACTACTTACAAGCAAGATCAAAAAACATAACATTCCAATTCAGTTCTATTTAAATGTTCCGATATCGTTATTTATACCACCTACGTAAGGGAAAAGAGGTATCTACCCTTAAAACACTAAATAGATAAAACTAACTGATTAGACTAGAACGATGCCCTTGAAGGAGCATCTTCTTTATGATATTTAACTATTAGATGAATTTTAAACTATATTTTCAACGTTACATTTAGTGTTTAATTTATTGACAAAATCAGAGAGAGTAATTGATCTATTGTGGAGTTTGCTAGTATATATGTAATAGCGCATATACAACATGGTGTAATTGAGTTTTTTTAACAGAGTTTTGTTTGCAATTGAAGAGGTGGGAAAAAGGCCAAATAAAGTTTCTTTAACGGACGGGTGTTGATTAGTATAATTAACGTTATTGAACCATTGAATAACTCTTCGCTGGAAAGCTTTTGAAANAATTGAAGAGGTGGGAAAAAGGCCAAATAAAGTTTCTTTAACGGACGGGTGTTGATTAGTATAATTAACGTTATTGAACCATTGAATAACTCTTCGCTGGAAAGCTTTTGAAAATTGGCAATTAATAAAGGTATGTTCGATGGAGTCTTCATTTCCACAATATAAACAATCACTAACTTGTTTGATACCGAAGTAGTAGAATTCTTTCTCGGTGACTATAATTCTATGTAAGAATTTGTAGTGGAATTCTTTTAATTTATTTTCTTTGCAAATCTGTTTTGCCAAATCGAAGATATGTTGCCATTCGCTGAAATTTAAATTCATAGTATTACTCCATTTTTTCGGGCCGGTAGGAAATGAATAATTTACGTTTTTATTTAGTAGCCATTAGAAATCCTTTGCCTTTGGTTTCTGTAAATCGATGGCAATATTTTCAGGTAATTGAATCTTAGTTTATGATTTCCTAAATAATTTTCTTTAAAAGGTTTGTCTTGATTACATGCCTTAGTTACTAATGCTTTCGGAATAGCACTAATTACTTGATAAAAATTTAGTAAATTAGTTCTAAAGTCAAATTTGCTTTGAAACTCTTGAAAGGAAAGAAGTTGTCCATTTTCGTTAAGTAAGTCTTTAATACAAATAATTCCTTTGGAAAACCATTCCCGAAGAAAGAAAGAAGGGTTTCCCTCCTATTAAGATAGCTTCAATGTTGAAAAGGATTGTTTCCTGCCCCTGTTCATACTTGTACTGGGATTTAATTTCAGAAAAAAAGGATAGAATGTCCTCGTTGAAAGCTGGCAACTTAGGGTCTAAATATTTTGTGTCATAGTTACGTCTGAGCAGAAAATTTAATCCTCCAAGTTTTTAAAAAAAAATAGTTTGGTATTGATTTACAATTATGGCTGTCGGGATTTAAAAGTCTTGGGATCCAGGCAAGTCTTAATGCCTTTATCATTATATCGACATCAGTCATACGAATTCCGCCTTTATCATAGTCTTGATAAATACTTTCTCTCTTAATTTTGTCTTTTTTGTTGTTCCAAAGGAAACTGAATAACTTATTTTTGATGGCATATCTGATTTCATTTGGGACATTGACATTAGACGCTGCATAGACTATTTGTGATAGCCCGAGCGATTTAATGATCACAACTTTTCCAAACAGGGTCAAACTGAATTTCTTGCTTTCCATAAATCCAGTTTTGTCTGTAATTTCTGAATTTTTAAACCGAAATTAAAGTGCAACTATCACGCATAGAAATCGAGAGCGAATAATCAAATTGTTTTAGTATAAATCTACTTAGAATCTACTTAGTCGTTCAAAATTTTATCTAAATACCCTTCACAGAGACTTCGAAAACGCCAAGAGGCGGCCGTCATTTTGTTAACAAGCGTACACTGCTACGCTACTCAATATGTATCACAGAATGGATAGTAGCGTAGCCAATCAGAGAGCAGCATTCGTGATAGAACGCTAGTAGATTTATACTAAAACAATTAGATTATTCGCTGTCGATTTCTAAGCGTGATAGAAATCTCGAGCTCATAATCTAACTGTTTAATAGATCAGATGACGTCAAAATGTGATAAGAACAATACCGTTAGCGTTAAGGGCGAGTTTGTTACTGTTGTCCTTACCACATTTTGATGTCTTCTCAGACACACGGCAACATGGAATCTCTTTGTTTTACACAATAAACAAAAAACATATATATATTAACGACGTCATCTACTCGTCTGTCTTCCAATAGATCATAAGTAAGCACCAGTCAAAATGAGAGAGTAGTTCGACTTTATCGGTAACTATAAAAGAAAACAATGGACGCTTGAGGTCTGGACAAACTGCTGGTGGACGCATGATCGGAACGGTAGTGCGTCCAGAGACTATTTTCTTAGAAACCATAGCAACACCATGCTGTATTTTGTTAAAGTGCCTATGAAGTAAAAAATAATTGCTGCTTATTTGAAAGGCTTTTCAAAGTGAAGAAGAATGGCGTTTCCCTTTTTGGAATATCCTTTTTTCATTCTAGCGATATTTCCGTTTTTGGATTATGCAAATGAGAAAGTGATGACGTCATAGGTGGTTCCACTTAAACGGCAAAACACTGAATCAAGAATATCTCTAGAAATATTGGAGCAGTGTTCTTCAAACTTGGCACCAAAAAATGTACATCACAAAAGAAACAGAATGACACCTTCTGTGTTGTTGCCATGGCAGCACTTTTGGCTCCAGTCTCTTTCTGTGAAAAACCAAATATGCCAATTTGCAACCCTTCGAAAAGGGACAGAGGGTCTTGCTCGGAACACACCTGATTCCCACATTGTCTAAACTCTCCCCATTAGATTGTTGGGAGTGGATGATCCTTGTTTAAGATAAAATCTGGTAATGTTAGTTTTAATTAAAACAGGACCAGTGGCATAACTGTTGTCATGGCGACGGCGCGACGGGTGTCGTTTTGTTTCTTTTTTGATTTACATTTCTGGTGCCAAGTTTAAAGGACACTGCTTTAATATTTCTAGAGATATTCTTGATTGAGTGTTGAACTGTTTTAGTGGAACCACCTATGACGTCATCACATATAATACAGAAACGTAAATATCTCTAAAACGAAAAAAGATATTCCAAAAAGTAAAACGCCATTCTTCTTTACTTTGAAAAGCCTTTCAAATCAGCATCAATTATTTTTTACTTCATAGGCACTTTAAGAATATAGAGTTTACATATATAAAATATAATATCGCTTTACATAGAATATAAAGCGATTTACATCTGAGAAGGGGCGGTAATTGCGTTGGTTACGCAAAATCCACCACACGCGTGCTCTTTAATTTCAAACCGTGGATCTATAATAATAATAATAATAATAATAATAATAATAATAATAATAATAATAATAATAATAATAATTCGCACTCAGCTCCAAAAGCGGGTGCACATGTACAGCAGCTTTAGTAAAAAGGATCTCAGTAATCTGCAGAGAATTACGTAACCGCCTCCCTGAAAACGTTACTGTGTTGTAAGCCTGTGAAAACATCTATATCCTTCATCTGCTGTTTTTCATGTGGCGTGAAACAACAGGATAAAACGCCAGTACATGCAACTTATTTCTTTGTCGACAGGTCCGAACGTTTAGGATAATAATGATGGCCTCGATCAAAAATAGAACTCAAAAACATCCGTTTGAATTTACTGAATAACAAAGGCGCAATACTCAAGAACGGTATGAATAGATACAATGCGATAAAACCTAATTAGAAACAAGGAAATGCCTTAAAATGAAGAGGATTATATTATTACATAATCTTTTTAAACGCTTTGTCCTAACATGCGGCAAAACGCAGTTGTGTCCTCTCTCTCAAACGGGTTTGCTGCGTGTGAGTAGGAGGTTACAGGATATTTCATGTATTCCTTGTCAAAACGATTTATTCTCAAAGCTAATGGTGCAGTGGTGCAATAGGCACAATGCGTTCTGTTGCTACTGAAACCGAAATGTGCGCCGGCATGACGGGCCGCGCAGACTTCGCACGTTTTCAGATTGTTTCGAAACAAATGGTTAAGTGTGAAAAAAATAAGAAAAAAACTTTAAAGTCAACGCTGACATACCAATTCCTTTCTTTTCTTTTTTCTTTTCTTTTCTTTTCCTTTTCAACTATGTCCATTTTCCAACAATCGAAAGCAGGTTGTGACTATGTATCTCGACCACTCTTATCAAAACAAAAAAATCTGGGAAAATAAAATGCTAAAACGAATACAGGCGAATTTCAGCCAGATCACAACATCGTTCCAAGGAACCTGGGAACTAGGCTGGCCGGACAAAGACGACGTAAGAGGACTGAATTGACAAAAGAATTACGCAAAAGAATAATAGTTTTAATACCAACAAATGAAGTAATATACATTTAAACAGTCTCCTCATTCCTTAAGATACCTAACCAATCTTCGTAAAAGAGCTGCTTCATGGAACAAACTCTTGCTAACTATTGCCAAGTCGGCACATGATCCGCACTTATCTCTGTCAGTAGTAATCTTTCTTTTTTTTATTTCCTTTCGAGATAACTATCACCTCTTTTGGAGTTCTTCTGTGTTGATAAATTATAATTTGACATTTCCTTTAGTCTGAAGGCAACTGGCTGATTGTTGAAAAAATAACAAGAATTTGCTTGATGTGGCCTCTGTACAATAACACGCACCGTGCCGTTACCAAGTGACAAAGTTATTCATTCATCTTGACATGCACATGTGGTTGCTTGGCTCAACCAAAAAAAACATCGCGAGCGGATATGTAAGAGGAGCAAACGGCCAAATGAAGCCAGAAAGAATTATAAACAAACAAAAAAAAAATAAAAAACTTTATCTGATGGCAACGGCACAGTGTACATCAATGTTACACATACCTATTTTCTAGTTATTCTGGATTGTAAGGTGGATAACACTGTTCAACACTTAAATCAGTATCCAGGTCTGGTGATAGCTTGGTTTGTTCTGCGAGCACTACTATCTATGCTAGCACTACAATCTATTATGTGGAGAGTGTTTCCTACCCTTACAAAAATTACAGCCAGGCTTCCCAAGGGTGGACTACCCCTATTTTCCGGAATCTGTGACCAATACATGGATGTCAGCCTGTTCCAGGCATAGTTAGGTTAGTTGGGGAGAGAAAAAAAAAAGAATACGTGAGGGGTATTGCCATTTTTTGCACAGCTCCCAACTAACTGTACGTCTGGTACAGGCTACCCAAACATGTAATGTCCTTAGCTTTTAGAAACCCATGTTACATGAACACTTATTTCAGTGTAAGGTGACTGTTTGCAGCCTCCTCTCTAAATATTCTGAAAGAGTAGGCCAAAAGAATTGCCAGTATATGAACTTTCGAGAAATACAATTTGAAAGAAATTAGAAAAGTAAGGAATGAACACCATTTCATTCACTACACTTGACCTACATATATTATATTGATTCCCACTGGGAAAAATACCAGTTCAATCACTCCCTGCGGTTCTTTAAATTATAAAAAATCTAACAACAGCCAAGCCACTGACACAGTTGAGATCAAAATTGTATGCAATTTTCACATGACACGAGTAGCAAGATCAGCCATGAAGTACAATGCGATAAAATTATACACAATCACAATGTAAATCGACCCTAACAGTTGCCCTTTTTTGAAGAATTTGAGTCTTTAAGGTAAGGGAAAGGCTTGTTTAACAGAGGAATCAGCAAGCGAAGATATAATACAAAAACCTTTGTTATACACAAAATTCTTCTCAATAACAGATTTTCAATATAAATAATAAACTCAGGATTTCTCCCTTTGATCCCTACCCTTTCTCTCCCAACATGGAATGGATAGTAATATTATTGTCACTAGTAAACTGATCTCCTTATAAAGCAACAAATAAAATGATTACAACTATCATGATCACTATTAATGCCACCAGAACACAGGTTTGCCTCTTATCTGCAATCAAACAAAAGAAAAACCCTCTCAGTAACATTGCTATGTTAATAAACCAACACTCTTACATTGTTAATTTGTGATTGGTACTGGGGACAGTCAGAAATTTGTTAGCCTCAGTGCAGATATCTCCTATTTTTTTGGCTTCCCTCTAGTTCCTGCCCACCCTCAGATGCTCTCCAAAAACATAATTAAAATTTTAGCTGTGTTGCCATCTACATACACACACACACACACACACACACACACACACACACACACACACACACACACACACACACACACACACATACA